ATCTCCACCCATCAGATAAACCAGGACTGAGTGAATCCAAGTTCGGTCTACAGTTGGCTAGAACCTGAGTAGAGCCAATGAAACAGGAGAGCAAGCATCCCTAAGAAGCAGGTCCTCACCTGGTCCACGAAGAACAACTCTGGAGTGCAAAGGGCACTCTATCCACCATGCAAGGTCTGGCAGAGCAAAGGTGATGCGTCATTATTCTCTACGTTCTGGAGCAGGACTCTTAACGCACTTACCCGAAGGGGCCCTGGGCAGCTCTTTAATGCTGTCGTGCAAGGAAGATGCCATTGTGGTGAAAGTCAGAGAAGCCAGGAATGAAGCTGGGGTTCCTACTTTCACAACTCCCTCCATCTCTACCCCCACCCCCCTTATTGGTAACAAAGAAATCTGTAATTATCAATTCCTTTGCTCTTAGAAAAGGAGGCATGTATTCAAAATAAAAGGTGCTGATGGACACTGTAATGAAAAAGGCTCACCGTGTATATGAACCAAGAAGAGGCTGGCGTATTGCCAAACTTGAGGGCATCTGGGGAAGACAGAGGGAAGCTACCTTGAGGAGGGGAGGGTTGGGCCATGCCTGGCAGTGCTCAGGCCTTATTCCTGGCTTATTCTGGGTCACTCCTGGCAATGCTGGGAGACCTAGATGTGATGCCAGGGATTGAATGAACCAAAGTTGGCGGCCTGGACACAAGCACCTTCATTGCCATACCATCTCCTTAAGTCCCTTTCTGGTTTTGGGGGCCACAACCAGGAGAGGACTGTGGTATCAGGGCTAGCGCCGGGGTTCCGCATATCAAGTACAGGCTCCTGTGGTCCAGCCTTGAAGTGTGTGTGTAAATACACTGGGTGGTTCAGGGATCACTCCTGGCAATGCTGCGGGTGAGGGGTGGGGGTGGGGGACAGGGTGGAGGGTGCTGTATGTACAGCAATGATTGCATCCAAACAGGAATGCAACCAAAAGGAGCATTTCCCACCTCAGGCAGCAGGATTTGGCTTTTTTTTTTTTAATTGACTTTTTGGGTCACACCTGGCAATGCTCAGGGGTTACTCCTGGCTCTGCACTCAGGAATCACTCCTGATTGATTGGGGGGCCCTCTGGGATAATGCGGATTGAATGTGGGCTGGCTGCATGCAAGGCAAACACCCTCCATGCTGTAGTATCATTGAGGCCCCAGGACTCAGCGTAAGAAAGTGACGCTCTTGTCCAGTGGTTCCAGGTCAGCCTTGAGGCAGCTTCAGAGCATCCTAATGGCCCAAATACCCTTCCCCCAATCCCCAAGTCCTGCCAGAGCACAGAGCCTGGGCATCTATCTCCATCAGGTGCATGCGGCATGGAATTACCCACAGCAAAGGGCACGGCAGCACAGGACGGGTCACCCACTGCCACCGTAAGCAGAGGCCATGGGGACACTGACCAAGCCCAAGGCAAGTGGAGCTGGCAGGGTAGGGGTGACACTGGCCAACTGCACGGTAGCTCCACGCAACGCCTGGTTGCTGGTTCCCACCAACACTTCGCATGTCCTGCCCCTAGGCAAGTGGTCACCTAGCTGGGATTGACCCGGGCGGGGATGTCAGGATACAAACACAGACACAAGAGAAACGGCAGTCCTGGGTATATTTAACAATATATATTTATATATATTTTCTAGATCAGTACATTCAGTTTTTAACTTGTTTTTTTTCTTCACAAACAGAAGAACTCTTACAATAGTAGACTTTCTAAAATAAATACTATTAAAATAGAGCTTCAAAATAAATATTCTATACAAAGGAAACCTTCTGTGGTAACTTTGGGAGGGGGTGAGAAGGAAGCTACAGTGATGGGGGGGGCCATGGAGTTGGGGGTGGGGACACTGAACAGCTTTTCTGTTGGTTAACACGAAACCGCACCGTGGGGCCGGAGGAAAGCAAGAGAAGACGCGGCACGGGAGCACCCACAGCAGGACACACGGCAGCGCAGACCGGGTCACCCGCTGACACCGTAAGCAGAGGCCAAGAGGATGCTGACCAAGCTGCAGCCAAGCAGGGTCGGCAGGACCAGGGTGACCCCAGCCACTGCACCCAAGGCCGCACAGTGGCTCTACACGTTTGGTTGCTGGTCCCCACCAACACTTTCCACGTCCTGCCACCCGGGCAAGTACTGATCTAGCTGGACTCCACGTGATGCACCACGGGGACCTGGGGGACCCAGGATGAACCAGGCCAACAAGAGCTCCCATCTGGCCTTCGGCAAAGGGCCCCTCCCAACCACAGTGCTCTCCCTTCCGTCTAGTAGGCCTGTCACAGGCCTGGCTTGGGTCCCAGCGTCTAGCTGGGAGTGGTTGAGGCTTAATCCTAGACCCAGTTCTCGAGGTGTGTGCTGCAATGTTGCCCAAACCCACCCTTGGCCTGCAGGCTGGGGGGGGGGGGGCAGTTCAAAGCTCTCAAGAGTGTCCTGGATCCAGTTCCAGGCAGCACCCCGGAAGTAGGAACCAGCTGGCACTTTTCAAAAGCCTAAAGCAGCTGGTGACAGCCTGGTCCCTCTTTAGTCATGGGACTGACCCCCGAGCTCACAGGCGGGGGGCCAGCTTGCTTTTTTCCTACGCCAAGACACTGAGAAAGGCACGCCGAGGGGATGCCACGGCGGAGCGAGGAGAAATTGAAGCACCTTCCTCTGTGCCCAGCACACACCCTTCTCCGGCTGCAGACGGGTCTGTCTAGTGGGTGAAATGCAAACCAAAGAACAAGCCACTAGGGGGGGAGGCAAAAGGAAAAAAGAAAACCAAACCCCAGAAAAATCCGTGTTTACAACTATGTACACAAAAAGTCAGGGTTTAGGAGGCTGTCAGGAAATGGGTGTCTGTGGCTAGAGGGTCAGTGGGGGGCTGGGGGTGGGAGAGAGAGACAGAGAGAGAGTGTGAGAGAGAGAGAGGAGAGAGAGTGTGTGTGTGTGTGTATACACAGCTTATGTGAGTCAATTCTCAACAGAAAAGGTGTGTAGAACACCAAGACCGTCCAAGGACAACTCACCAGGGGGCAAGTTTCCCATGTAACACATGACACAGGGACGCTGGGACAAGTTCTGAGGCCCAGGCCTCAGCCTGGAGCGTCATGCCATCTTTTGGGGGGCGACCTCTGCACTCCTGCTCTGAGGAAAAGGCCTCCGGCCCCCGGGGGACACTCTGATACATTCAATGGGTGTGAGTGCTCGGCTGCCCGCCTCCTCTCCCTCCCTCCCTCTGTCTGTGGGCAGCTACAGGAACCAGCGTTAGCAAATGCAGGTTTCCATATTGCCTTTTACAAGCCAGCGACTGTTATATAAATAAAGCCTAAAATAATAAGACCCTCCCCTCCTGTCCTCCGATCAATAAATACCTATGGTTACAAGTTAACTTATGCTAAATCATAAGGTATCACTACTAGTCTTCTAGAAGGAGAAAGAAAAAGTCCAGGAGAAGCCTGGGCGGGGCAGGTGGGGGGGGGCACAACTCAGCTCCCAGCTTCCCTGCCTCCTTCTGCCCCCCCCCCCCCCCCATCAAATACATGCTGGGCCTTCTGCACCTCCAATTCACCTGGGGGAGCTTTGCCTCCACAGCTCTCTCGCCCAGGCAGCTGCTTCTGGACAGAGAACACAAAATCCCACGCAAAGCCAAGAACACCGCGCCACCACTAGGAAGGAAAACCAGGACACAACTACAGCGTTCGCATGCAACAAGTACCTACCCATCGGACGCCGCCCTCTCCGAGTCCTTTAGCACCTTGAGAGAAAGAGTTGCTACGTCTTTTTTTTTCCTTAGGGGGGGAGGGGGTGCTGCCGGGAGGGGGGTTGTCGTGGCCACACACGCACAGAAGCACTTCTTGGGCTCAACCCCAAGAAGCCCCTGGAAAATCCCCCCCCCCACATCCCACATTCTGAGGACCCCCTGCCGCTGGGGGCTTCCTAACACTAAAATAGACTCTTTAGAACGTCTGTCTATTTACATGAAAGATACACTGACACGTCACTGTACACACAGGGCCTAGGAGGGCAAGAGTGAGGAGGGGCCACCCCCGTTCGGCACCACCGTCATCCTGCCAACGGAAGGTAGGTGCTGTCTCTCTGCCGTGAAAATCTTACTGGTGCAGAGGGAGATGTGTGTTTCTTGTGGTTTGCACCCCCCTCGCCCCCAGATTTTTTTAAAAGCAGCCCTTCCTTCCTGGGGGTGGCCCAAAAGGAAGCAAGTGTTTTTTTATTCTTTTTTTTTTTTAAACACCGTTAGCATCTGCTTTTATTATTCTATAAAAACATAACGACTGGATCCAGAGACCACAGCCTCAGACTCATTGGCAAAATGATATTTGGTCTCGCACTGGCTGGCCCGGGCATCGCTCTACCCATAGATGTTTCTGGAAAGGATCTGGATAGAGCCAACATGGGACATGGAGCGGGCAGGTTGAGTCTGTGACTCAGTGAGAACGAAGGAGTGTGGGGTCTCCCCCTTTCACTCCTCCTCCTCCCCCTAAGTTAGCGATGAAGCGGGGAGGGAGAAATGCGCTGTCCACGGCTAGGTGTGGACAAAGCGTGATGGGCAGCTGAGTTCCCCTGCCTCCTGTGTTCTCAAGGGGCTCCTAATTATATACTCCAGGGACAGCCAGGGCCCCCCTCCCCCAGTCAGGAACAAAGTGGAGGGGGAAAGGGGGGTATAGAGGCAGATTCTCCAAAGTCCCCTGGGGCCAGTCAATTCCTCCCAGGTGGCCAGAGAGAAGGGGAGGAGGGGCGGGAGGAGGAGAGGCGGGAAGGCATTCAAGCAGCTCCCCGATATGTGCACATCTGTGTTCCGTCTTCTGAAAAAAGAAAACTCCACCCCGGCCCCCACGCCCCCCTGCCACTGTCTGACAAAGTTCCAGGGCCCTGGAGGACAAAAAAAAAAAAAAGGCAAAAGCAAAACCCACACCCCAAAGTGAGCTGCTGCTTCTTCCTCCTTTGGGAAACGGAGATGGGAGATGGTGCCGGTGGCCACGGAAGCTGTGGGGGTGAGGGGCCACGGGGTCCGTTTCATCGCTCTGTCCTGGCAGTGGGTCTTCTCCGGGCGTCAGAAGGGAAGCGCGCGCCCTGGGGGAGCGCGAGGGGGCTCGGCTCACCCCAAGTGTCAGAAAGGCTTGTCGGGTCTGGCGGCCTTGGGGTCGGCGCCGGCCGCCTTGCAGATGACGCTGTTCGTGTGTTTGCAGCGGCAGCCCGGGCGGCGCAGGCGGTCGTAGCTGCGCTGGGCCAGCTTCACGCAGCCCGTGGCGGGCAGGTAGCAGAGCAGACAGGGCAGGACGAGGGACAGGGCGCCCATGAAGGACCAGCGGGCGCAGCAGTTTGAGTGGGAGCAGGAGCAGGGGTGGTCGGCGCAGGAGCCCTCATCGTCCTCGTTGGTGCAGTGGTAGAAGACGCCCTGCACCAGGCACATGCACGTGCCGTAGTTGACCAGGGTCTGCGCCGAGCACAGGCACTCCTGGTTGCAGACCCAGCAGGAGGGCAACGTCCGCGGAGACGCGCACTCCTTGCACTTACACTTCCCGCAGGCCTCGCACAGCAAGAAGTGCTTGTCCAGCTCCGGGGGCAGGGCGGGGGGCCCCTTGAGGTCCAGCGGCTTGCAATGCGCGGCCTTGGGCTGGAGGCGCACGGCCCTGGGGGACGCCGGGTCGGCCACGGGGGGCGGCGCCATGTGGTCCAGGAGCCGCTGGTCCGAGGAGGTGCTGCTGCTGCTGCTCACGGAGCTGGGGCGGCCGCTGAAAGAGATCCAATGGTGCGTCACGTCCTGGTCGCAGCGGGCAGGCGTCGGCGCCAGCTCGGGGGCCCCGCCCCGGGTCCGCTTGGGGCCTGCGGGGGGCGCCAGGCCAGGGTTGTCGATGTAGTCATTCTCCACGTGGCTGGTCTTCATCTGGTCGATGGGCAGGATGGTGAGCGGGTGCTGGAGCCGGCTGTGGGGCATCCGGCTGTCGAGGAGGGGCTGCACCAGGACAGACGCGGGCGCCAGTGGCGCGTTCTGTGGGATCGGGGGCTCCATGGGGCTGGAGGTCCGGGATGGCACCAAGAGACACGCTTCTAGGGGCCCTGAGGGGGTGGGGAAAGGTAAGAGAGAACGGAGTCCCGGCATCAGTGCGCAGCCCATGCATGGATACCACCACACCCTCCCTGGGTGGCTCGGGAGCCCAGAAAAACTGGGCATTGAATGGAGCCAGAGCAAAGTGCAAGCAGGTAAGGCTCTTGCCTTGTCTGCGGTCAACCCAGGTTCAATCCCCGGCGCCCTCTATGGTCCACCCCCCCTACCCCTACCACCAGGAGTGATTCCTGAGAGCAGCTGGGTGTGGTCCCCATCTCCGCAAAGGGAACTGGATATTTCTGTTGATGGTGGTGGTGTTCAGCTCACTCAGCGATGCTCAGGGGACCATATGGGATGTCGAGGATCAAACTTGGGTCAGCCTGCACGCAAGGCAAGTGCCAGACAAACTAGTATCGATCCAGCTTCAAGGGGAAATGATTCTTTGAGTGGACTCCCCAGCCTCAATCACGACAAGAGTTAACTGTTAACTGGTAGGGGCCAGAGCGATAGTCCAGCGGGTAGGACGTTTGCCTTGCACAAACCCACTCAGAGTTTGATCCCCAGCATCCCATATAGTCCCCCGAGCACTGCCAGGAGTGACTCCTGAGTGCAGAGCCAGGAGTAACCCCTGAGCATTGCTGGGTGTGACCTAGAAGGCCATAAACTTTGTTGCTGTCGTTAACTGGTAAGGACCAGAGAGGTAGTACAGAGGGTACTTGTACGCGGCCCACCCCAGTTTGATTCCAGCACTGCATATGGTCCTCTGAGGACCATCCCTGAATGGTACTACCTGCGATCATTAATCCTCAGGACACAAAAACGAACATGCAAAGAGCTGGAGTCACACCCAACTGTCAGCAGCACCAAGTCCCTCATCCCCGTCATCCCGATGTAATGGCTCTTCCTCAAGCACCCACTCCTCGGCTCTCCACACACGCTCTGGAATCAGATGCACATCTGGATTCTCACCTGTCTGAAAGCCCCGCGGTACCTTAGGTTCTTTACCCTCGATGTCTTAGTTCAGTAAAATGGGTTCTTAAAGGGATTCAATGAAGAGGGGGGAAAAAATCATGCCATTTCCAGTATCTAGCATCTTTCCGGGCATACAAGACGTCCTCCGTCATTTATCAGCATCCCCGAGAGCTGCCGTGTCAATTTCCTGAGCTCCGTGCGCCAAGCATTGTGCAGAGGCCGAGGATGTGGCGACCACGACACACAGCCCCTGTGTGTTCTCATGAAGTTTTATCAGCTTGGATAAACAAAAGCCTTTATTTCAGATGGTCACAGGAGAAGGAAGGGCCCTATCTGATGCCCGCACGCCGGGATATTAACTTATTACCACCCCTCCTGCGGGCAGCAGCCTCTGACGGCTTCCCGGGCTGGGGAGGTGCACGTCTGACAGCGTGGATGGGAAATCCTCTCGAGGGACACTCACATCACCCGTTTCGAAGTGCTGAGCCGAACATTCAGTCTAAATGCTATTTACTAGAATAGCTAAGCCAAGCCTGGATCCGTTTCCAATTTCACCGAGAGAGTGCAATTTTAAGTTGGAATTTGGCCAGAGATTCAACTGCAGTGCCTGATACAGAACCCCAGGAAGTCACTTAAATCAAAGAGCGGAAACGGCTTGGTTCAAATTTAGAAAGTGCACATTGTTTTCTATTAGAAGTGCCATTTCCTCGCCTGCTGACCTTTACATTCAGAATTCGGCTGGAGATCAATTTAAAGAAATAGCAGCAGAAGGCCAAGACCTCTGCCCAAGGGGACACGATTTGGAATCCAAGAGAAAGATTAGACTTTGGGAAGATTCCATGGGGCAGAGGGGGGATGGGACAGGGTGTGGAGAGGAGGGAGGGAGAACTGGCTTAAAGAGAATCCAAGAGCCTTGGATCAAGGTGTTACGATGAGCCGGGGTTCTCTGTAGAAGTCTTTTGTTTTCAGTGCCAGGTGGGGGGTGGTCTCAGATACGCCACAGCCAGGTCAGTGGATGTGGTGGGCTCAATGCCTGGGTCCAGGAGATCCAATAGCTATGGGGGACAGGAGGATGCAGGGCACTCAAGTGCTGGGGACCAAACTCAAGGCCTTGCATGCAAGGTGTGCGCTCCTTTCAAGAAGCAGATGATGCTTTAATTGGAAGAAGTTAGATTCTTTTTCATTCTTAAGTTTCGGGGCCACACCCAGTGGTGCTCAGGGAACCAACCATGTGGGGATCAAACCTGAGGCAGCCATGTGCCAAGGTAAGCGTCGTACCCTTTGCACTACCATTCGGGCCCCAATTCAGATTCTTGCCGAAGAAACTGTCTCCACAATCACTCTAGACTCGGGTTCCGGTCACTCCATCCCAACAGTACAAGCAGAGGACAAAGACACCCCGCTCCTGGTGACTCATCCATACTTTTGTGACTCATCTGTGCTTCTCAATCTATAGAATTGGAGTGAAGGGACAAAAGGTGCATTCAGGGGGAGGCGGCACGGACATCCCCTTCTTGCAAACAAGTTTGACCTGGAATGGTTTCTCATTACTGAGGAAGGGTTTCTGAGATACTTTCCCAGTACTTAGCTTTTTTCATTTGTATGAAATAAAGAGCAGGCTGTGGGTCCATAAAAGATAAGAACGATAGCGAAACATATTCTCCTCTGGCTATCATCTATAATTTAGAATGAACCCTAAGAACACGGGTAGTCTTGGGGCTGGAGTGGTAGTACAGCTGGTGGGACCTTGCACTCTGCAGACCTGAGTTTGATCCCCAGAGCACCATCAGGAATGATTGATTCCTAAGTACAGAGCCAGGAGTAACCTCCAGCATCTCACCAGGTGTGGTGTGGTGTGGTAAGGTAAGGTAAGGTAAGGTAAGGTAAGGAAAGGAAAGGAAAGGAAAGGAAAGGAAAGGAAAGGAAAGGAAAGGGGAAGGGGGGAGGAAAAAAGGAGGAGGAAGGAAGGGAGAGAGAGAAGGAGGGATTTTTATCTATGCAGTTTAATGCTTAGTCAACTGCAATTTCTGGGCCGCTCTATTTTCCCTACCTTGGAGAAAGCCCAGGAGCAGTGCTCACCTCCTACCCCTACATTCCCTCCAGAAGGAATGAGAGAGTAGCACTTTAAAATGGGTGACTTGTGCCGAAGCAATTATTTAGTATGTAGGACATTTGCCCTTCCATATGGTCGACCCGGGTTCAATCCCCGGCATCACATACAGTCCCCCTCAAGCATCCTTCAAGCACCACCTAAGTGCAGAGCCAGAAGCAACCACTAAGCATTGCCAGGTGTGACTCAAAAGGCTAAATAAAATTTAAAAGGGAGATTGGGGGCACTTGTTTTCATGCAGCTGATCCCGTTAAATCCCCTGAGCATCAGAACAGGAGCCTTCCCGCTGGCAGGCAGTTGGCCCTAAGTGCCTGCTACAAGGTGTGCCCCCCCCCCCCCCACTCCCAAATAGATTCTGCCAAGGCAGACTCCTGTAGGGTACTCTGGTGGAGGCTAGAACAGGGGAATGTCCGATGCGTTCTACAAAGAGGAATTTCCCCCCCTGGCTCAGGCTGGCTGTAGGCCACGGAAACCTCGGGAAATGCTACCTTAGCCTGCCTCCTTATTCTCTGCTGGAGGTGTTCTAAAGTCTCGCTTCCAGAATAAATGGGTTTGGGGTCAACAGATGAGGGTTAGGAGCGCCAGGACCCAGCCCTTGGGACTTTGTGCAGAGGAAAAGGTATGAAGGAGGAGTAAGAATGGAAAACGCTGACAGATGCACAGCATAAGACTCTCAGACGCCAGCCAAGGTGTTTCAGCCAGAAAGAACCTCCGCCGGACTAAGACAAACCGATTCTCTTTTCCCCAAAGCCCAGGTCACGAACACTCTTGGATCTTGCCAGTAAAATGTCGGTGGCAGACTGAAGGTTGTCTTACCCCCCCCCACCCAAACTGGGATGTGACCCCTTAGGGCAAGGATGGGGACTTGGCACATGTGGGGAAAGTTAGGGAATCCCCCCCCCCCCCCCCCGCAGCCCTCTCCTGCCCCTCAGTCTGTCCTGGGGCGTCTTAGAAAAGAGCCGCATTTTCTGTGGATGAAGCAAAGCTATGACAATGCTCCGGGATTTTAATCGGCCCTGGAATCAGAAGGCAGATTGATGGGAGTGAAAAAAAAAAGAAAAGAAAAGAAATTATCTCCCCCGGAAGCCAGGGTAGGAGCTGCAGGCAGTGGGGATGTTGGCAGAGGCAACACCCATCACCCTCTGAGGCAGCTGTCAACATCTGGACCAGCAAATGGGGCCAGGTATGTGAGCTTGGTCCACCGTGACTCAGCTCTCCTGGGTCGGGAACATCCAAGATGGCACCAGCAGACGTTCTAGATGCATCTGCCCTATCAGACACTGCAGAGCGAGCTTCCATCCCCACCAGTGCGGCCAATCCCAGCACTGGCAGCCAGTGCCATGGCTTTAGCCCCCGTCTCTGTAAGCGCCCTTGGCAGCCCCTCCTTACTAGGGGAGGCACAGGGGAGGGGACCGCTTCTCCACAGAGGGGATCCTCTAAGAGGACAAGTTGACAAAGGAAAACTCTTTCCTGAGCAGCCTGTTTGATAAGCCCTCAGCACCACTAAATTAAGTCTCCCAAACAGCCATCCAGCCTCAATAGGGTTCGAAGATCAATTTCGACTCCCAGGGATACCAGCCCTCAGGGGTACGGGGGTAATGCAGTGTATATGTGCTCTCCGCTTCCCCTGCAAGGAAGGAAGGGATTTACAATAGAAGTGGAGACTACGAAGTGTCGCCCCACAGAGGCTGCTGGGAAGACGGGTGGCCAGTTTGACCAACTTGGTAGAGACTGTGGACAGTGGAAGGTGGCCAGAACACCATTGAGGCAGAAGAGTCCCCCCATGAAGCGTCAAGGGACAGACTCAAAGGAAAGGAAACTTCTCACACCCATCCTCTCTGAATAATGATTATGACGGATGCAGCGGCTACTTCAGAATGGTTTTTTGGTGTCAACACGGGCACTAAGTCCCTCAGATTTTTCTCCATT